CAATAAAATGCATAGTTTCGTAGTCATGTCCAAAAAAGGAAACAAATTACTAAATTTTCGCTGTTTTTTGTATATTTCGGAACGCAGAGGAAAATGTCGTCCAAAAACATCAAATTCAGATTCAGCATCCCAAAAAATATAAACAAACCGACTGTTTGTATTTTTTTCTTCATCCGTCGTCGTCAGTTTTCAAAACGCAACCGAGTAACATCATCAGCCAAGGTGAATTCTCTTTTAAGGACAAAGAAATTTTTTTCTTGTTTTGAGGTCAATATTTTCAGTTTGACCAACTAACCCTGAAACACCCTGTATTTTCAAAATTTAGTGAACTATCAGAATTTCCTATTTATTATATACCATAAAATATATCGGTTTCTTAGTATTAAATATAAGATGTACTTAAAACGATTACCTTAATGAGAAGATTATTAATTTTTGAAATGGATTTGAGGAGAAAAAATACACAGAATCTTTTTCATTAGTAAAAATTAATTTTAGATATTGCAATTAATAATAAGGGCTACCTATTACTTTTCCTAATGGATTCCTTTTATAAGTGCTATGGAAAGTGGGTATCATTTTTAATATAATGTTTTTCAATTTATATTTTAAAAATTATTCTATCAATTAACTTAATTGATCACAATTTATAGTTTTACTTCATTCAAAATGAATAGTGAAATAACTTTTTGTTACTTTTATTACCACAAATTTAAAATGTTAACGATTTGATCTGGGATTGCCGCAACTGATGGGTTCATATACGGTTTTAATGTATTCGATAAAATTGTAAAGAAAGGGTAAAATCGATTATATAAAGTACCAGTTTCGGTTAGGCGATTTTAACGAAAACATTACTGTAATAACTTGCTTAAATAAGTAATTTCGGCTTTATTGGTACAGAACTATGCTGTTCACATTTACAATGGGGGATGCGATGGAAAAGAGATGGAGGGACCTGCTGAATCAGGGGTTTGGTTGAGGAAAACTCCATATCGAAAAATACCCTAAGAAAAAAAAATCTAAGCTATGCTCTTTTTTAAACCCATGTTGTACCAATTTACAACATAGAGCTTACAACGCTATTGCGTGAAGAAAAATGAAACTGTGAGAGAAATCCTACTGAACTATAATCTTTATACTTAAATTCTCAACATTTTTTATTTTAGTTAATCCATCTCTTAGTTACTCCTTTATAAAATCCAGTGATTGATGTAATGGAGAAATTTTATTAAAATTTATTTGAACATAATTAAAATTATATACAATTTATACTGGATTATATTGATGATGATTTGAAAGGTTTTTATTTCCTTTAGAAATGAAAAAAAAAATTAAGGATGAGGGTTAAATTTTTTATTTTTTTGGATGATTACAACGGTTCATTATGGAAAATAATAAACCAAAAATATTTAAAAACCACGATATACTTAATAATAATGCTCTGATTTCGATTAAACATTTTTTTTGTTTTTTAGGAATTTCGAATACCTTTGAAACATCCGATTATAAAATTGACAAAAAGTGTATACTTCTCGAGTTATTCGGAAATGTAATTTTACCACCCCTCATAATTTTTTTTCCAGCTTCGTTTCGTTGAAGTACGTTATTTAGATAAATTTAAAGGTCATCGAGGAGAAGAATTAAGCCAAGTTTCGTTGATATTGGTATATTCGTTTAGGCACTACAGTCTATACCAACACAGATTTTTCCGCTGCCATCTTGGAAGGAAAGGGCGGATAGTGATGTCGAGGTAGGAGGATCATCCTTGGGTGACCTCGGACTTTGATTGGAAAAAGTTGAAAAAAAAAAATAGGTCTAGTAGTCTCGGAGAAAACAGAGGACGGCGGACGGGCAAACTAATTATTATTCGATTTTGGAATACCGTGAAACGTAAAACCTCAAATTTCGAGGAGCGGTTAAATTATTGATTTTGTTAGACGATTACAATGGTTTATTATTAAAAATAATAATCCAAAAAATAACAAAGATTTAGCCAATTGTAATTTGTGCACATGTTATGGTTTATTATTTTGAATTAACCATTGTAATCGATTAATATATACCGCGATAAATACTAATACTACTATAATATAATGTAATTTATACAATGTAATATACTATGTGAATTAATCGCACGGACAAACTACTAAACATTGAAAAGAATTTTTGAAAAAATTACATTGACCAAACTATCTCAGACATTTTTTTTTACTAAATAGTATTCACTCTATTTAGTTGACAGGCGCAAATATATTTTTTGATAGACAAAAAAGAAAAAAAAAATATCGAGAACTTATCGAAAACTAAATAAATACATATTATGTCTTATAAGTTTTATTCCTCAGTAAATCCGTTAAATTATTACATAATTTTATTTCTAACTTTTGTGATATTTTCATAAGTATTTCTCCAAGTCAGTTATATATTTTTGAAATTGTATTATAACTACATACAGATGTACATATTTAACTCTCTATTTTACATGAAAATTCTTCACGAACGATCACTAGTGATTGATTTTGTAAAAAAAAAAAATTAAAACATTACTCAATAAAAAATCAGGAAATATATAAAAAGCCAATAATAATAAACTAACGAAAATAATCGACAAATGATTATATTGATATCAGAGTTGAATAACAGTGTGACGAATTCGATATTTGCTTTATGCAAATAGTATGCATAATATTTATATTTTAAATAATATCTCGTACAAATTTAACTTCCTATTTTAAAAACGGAATTCATAAAAACATATTTCGTTTATTTTTACACACACTGGATATGAACGATTACTTTCTACAATATAGAATATAATCTATAATATACATATATTTTTACACTAATTATTTCATTTGGTATAACGAACTAAACGAAATAACGAACCTAAAATTTCATGAAATATCCCATTAAATTAGTTTTTACCTTTATATATTTACAAATATACATTTAAATTTTATTTAAAAATATAAATTTTTCTTTTGTTCTATGAAACTGCTATTCTGTTCTTAATTAACTTTAACCAAAGGTCATATGAAATGTTTAATTATTTAATATTTAATTATTTAAACAATGGACAAACGTAAAATTGATAAATTCATTCGAATTACTAAAATTGTATATATTTTTTCTTTCAGGCTTCATAGGACATGTAATTATTATTTAATTTCCAATTTTATTGATGGATTTTTTATCATTAAAAATAATTTAATTTATAATACATTATTTCATATTATATTGATTGTTCTTTCTACAGGAGATAAAAAAAATTAAATATTAACAAATTATTTTAAAAATTATCATCTTGCAAAAGATAATTTTATTTTGATCTTTTTTACTTATAATGTAAAAATATATTTTTTCGGTTGTGATTACTTATTTGTATAGCATAAAGATATTTATTATTTTTAATTTGTATACCATCTAGGAAGCAGTATTAATATATTTTTTTAAAGTTTATGTCATATAGAAAGTGTGAAAATATCTACTTATTTAAAAGGCAACAAAAAATAATTTAAATGACTATGTAATAATTGTTTATTATTTTTTTTCTTACAGCTTTAAATCATATAAAAATGTGATTTCTTTGAAAACTTTAAATTTCATTCTTTATAAAATGATCTCTTTTAAAATGAAAAAAATTATAAATGTTAAATTTATTCAGATTGCTTTACATTTAAAAGTGGACATTTTTAAAATATTACCTTTAATGTTTAAGTCATTTATGAAGTAAAATTGATATTTGTTAAAACTCATGTCATATAACGCGTAAAAATAATTTATAATTATTTTAAAATGTATTAAAAAGAATACAATTTAAATTACTAGATAATTTATATATTTTTTTCTTCTAGCTATAATTCATGGAAAAATGTGGTTATTATTAACTACAAATTTTATTAATGGATCTTTTCATTAAAAAATAGTTCAAAATATGTGATAGAATTCATTCAAATCATTATTTGATTTCTTTGATTTCATATAATTTTCAATTTTTTTTTTCCGCTGTAAATCATTAATAAAAATTTTGATACTTAGGAAAATACATATATATTTTTTTAACAAAGATATATATATTTATAAATATTAAAATTATATAGATTTATATTAATTCAAAACTAAAATTTCTGATTTTTTTTTCTTTAGTTTTTATTACAATTTATGTTAAAATATATTTTTAATATTTTTCCATTTGTGATTACCTATTTTTACATTATTAAAAATATTATTTTTAATTTGTATGTCATCTATGAAATAGTACTGATATTTTTTTAAAAATATTATCTAGTTATTTAAAAAAATATTTAAAAGGCATATATTAAATTAATTTAAATCACTATATAATTATTTCCTTACAATTTAAAAAAAATGCTTTCTTTAGAATATGATCTATTTTATTTAAATAAAAAAATTTATAAATGTTTAATTTATTTATTCAGATTGATTTGTATTTAAAAGTGAATATTTTAAAAAATATTATTTTTAATTTTTATGTCATTTATAAAGTAAAATTGATGTTTGCTAAAACTCATGCCATATGAAACAGAAAATTATTTTAAAATGTATTTAAAAGAATAAATTTTAAATTACTATACAAAAAATTTATTTTCGTTCACCTATAAATCATAGAAAAATCTGATTATTATTTAAATAAAAATTGTATTAATCGATTTAATCATAAAAAAATAGTTCAAAATAAATTATAATATTCATTCAAATCCCACTATGATTCAGAAAATAAAATCGTTGAAAAATTTAATTTCAAAAAATACTTTGGTATTTATGAGAATATATTTTTTTTAAATATGTATATATATTTATAAATATTAAAAGTATTCAGATTTATTTAAATTTAAAATATAATTTTTTTGTCTTTTTTTTCAATTTTTATTACGATGTAAGGAGTAAAATTTTATTTTTTTTTAGAAATAAATATTAAGAAAAATGAGGGTAGGAACAGTAATAATTTATTTTATTTTAATAATACAACAATTTACCGTGAGCTGCTGCCGTCGCGGCGAGCACTATAGAGATCGCGAGAAGCATTCGCGGGCGGAAGAAGAGCCCCTTCCGTTGAAGACAGCACTGAGGGTAACCCGCTACTGTCTGTAGCCGCCCGCGTTTGGGGCGACCGCCGCTAGCCGCAGCACCTCCGACCAATTAGTCACTATTTGTCAACCCTCTGCCTCCTAGATCTAGCCATGACGTGATAGGGGAGATATCATACATGAATTAGAACAGTACTTCCAGGTAACAGCGAAACTCAATGTGGCAAAATTTACAAAATTTCTCACAGAAGTGACTCCCAATTTTAAAACGTTTATTTTTCGGCATTAAGATTTTAGACCAAATCCTATTTTTCTTGTTATATTGATTATATCCTTATCTGTCTTTCTCTAAGACAGATTGATTTATCTGTCGGTGACAGTGCATTGCTAAACGTAAAGGATCCTCTACTTCGTCACATATCTCACACTTTAGTGTCGCCTTTATTTTTATCAAATTAAAGAATTAAATTATATTGCCATGATTGGTCCTCAACTTTTTTTTTTATTATTTCTTAATGATATTTACAACTGTATTAAAGAAATACATTTAGTAAATTTGAACATATGGATATAATGACGTGAAAACACTTGCTGAGTAACTACCCAATGGTAGCACTCTAATGATATGTCTACAATAGGAGATCACGGTGCCATCTTCTTTTCAGACGCCTCGGAGGGTTATCAGGAATTGAAGAGAAAGCAAGGTAAGAAACGAGAGGGTTGGGATGATTCTAAAGTTTATTATGGAAGGATAGGTATCTGGATCATTGATGATTTTATGAAGGATTGGATACTAGAGGCATTCCATGGTTTAGTGGAGCTCCATAGCTCAACTCCGTAAGTCCAAATAGACCTTATTATAGTCATGTATAAGTGTCTTTTGTAATTAATTGGAAGTTTAGAGCGTTTGTCTAGTAAATGCTGGAGTAGTCAGAAAAGTCTAGCGGTTTCTTGCCGTTTCAGTCTGGTATGAGGATTCGAAGCACGTTTGTCCCAAGTGGAGTCCACGGTATCGGATTTGCCCAACGGGGATAAGTGGGATATTATTAAAGGATACTGTAGGACAGGAGGTCATAGATTTATGGCGAACAATAATGGTGATTTGATGGAATTTACTGAAATTTAATTTCATCCTTCAGTTCACCATTCTTCAAGATTTATGATGTGTGATTGAAGCATTTGGGAAGGTCCTCAACCTAATTGAATTTGCAACCTCACTTCTCTCGAAACTTTTTCCCAAATTTACCTTAACTTAATTAATATGGACTCAAATCTCACTAAACGAGGAAGTTTTCCTAAAAGTGGAATAAACATAGTACAGTTGAAGGATGATAAAAAAAAAAAATAACAAAGAATTTACAACTTTTTTTTTTCGGAACTTTGCTGTGTTTGTCCACTGAATAGTTCTCTTTAAATAGTTTCAATAATGACAAACTCTTCTTTAGTTTAAAGAAATTTTTTTTTAGTTTACTATGGAACAATGTTTAATTATTTAAATCAAATATTTCTTTAGATATCACTTATTATTACACAAAAAAACATGATTTACTTTAAAAAATACAAAACTTGGATTTTTAACTTTTCTGCTGAATTTGGCCCATTGTTTATATGAACTTTTTTGCAGCTCTTGAAATCTGCGATCACTCCTATAAAATGTTTCTCTACTAACGGGACACCCTGTTCATACATTATTCTACCCTATAGTAATACTAATTTTAATATTAGTATAATATAAGTATAATACCTACAGTTTACTAATAAATTTAACTATACCCAGCAGTCTCAGCCTAGTTAAATGTATACTTCATATGCTTGTCTACTTCATACACATAAATGACTGACTAAGTCTACCTCATTAACTGAATCAAATTTGAAATTTATTACGAAAAACAAAAAAAACCGAATCACTTATTTATATACAGTATTATTTTTTTTTTATAAATCAGTCCGTATTTTTTAAAAAGCCGCTGCGTATGGCCACGAATTTCAAGGTGTCTTAATGTTTCGGCAAGTTCCGTAAAATAACCGAAAAAATCTTCAAACAAAATGTTTAATTGATGTACTTTATGGTACGCCCTTTAATTATTCAATTCAATAAATAATTGATTATTGGCCATACATTAGTTTCTATAATTATCTATAGTCATTTCAATGATAAACTGGCAGAGAATTAAAGCTATTAAAATGATTTTAAATGCCTAACATACCAGACAGAAATGATAAGAAACCGCTCGACGTTTCCGATTACTTCAACACTTACTAGACAAACGCTATAAACTTCCAATCAATTACAAAAGACTCTTATACATGACTATAAGAAGGCCTATTTGGATTTACGGAGTTGAGCTATGGGGCTCCACTAAACCATCGAATTCCTCTCGTATCCAATCATTACAATCCAAAATCCTTCGTAAAATCCTCAACGCTCCTTACTTTGTTACAAATAAAACCATCCATAATAAACTTTTATGTTTCAGATCTGGCCCAATCCAGATACCTATCCTTACATAATGAACTTCAGAATCATCTCAACCCTCTCGTTTCTAACTCTGCTTTCTCTTCAATTCCTGATAACCCTCCGAGGCGTCTGAAAAGAAGATGTCTCCGTGAACTCCTAATGTAGACATATCATTAGAGTGCTACCATTGGGTAGTTTCTCAACAAGTATTTTCACGTCATTATATCCATATGTTCAAATTTAGTAAATGTATTTCTTTTATACAGTTGTAAATATCATTAAGAAAAAAAAAATTCCCTGCATCTTTAGCATTTTAATCAAAGCTTCAAAAGCTAAGTATCTTAGTATATGTTGAAAGGTATAATGAATTTGAACAATATTCTAATAACTCATAGTGTAATTGTTTAATATTTACCTATTTCTCTACTTATCTACACGTGTATGCTTACATTAATAATCTTATTGTGAATTGCAAAAACCACTTCTGCATTGATATTCAGATAGTTCAAAATGGTAATTCTTTAGGAGATGAAATCAAATCCTTTTATAAGAAATGACTTTAATAATTTTTGCGAAATGCATCGGTACGGAGCTGGGACTACACTGAGGGCGAAGTACAATGTCTAAATTTCAAAGTAGTGAGTTTATACAAAAATAAAATAATTAGTAATTATTTAGATGAGTGGATTACTCATGGGTCACAATCACTTCGGTCACCCTTGTTCATGATACGCCGAAAACAGTCATTCGGATAAACCCGGATGCATTCGGCACTCCATGAACAAGTGTGACCGAAGTGATTATGAACCACGCGTTACACGTGCGGTCGTCGTATAAATAATTACCAATTCAACCGGCAGTATTTATTTATTTAAAAAAATCATACGAGTACCTTATTGTAAATGGTAAAGATTTTATAAATTTATAAAAAATTCAAGAATAGGAACATTGGCTTTAGTAAACTACTTGCGTACCTACTTTTAGCCTTTGGCCATCTAATTAATTTTCTATTTTCATAATTGGTTTTAGATTACAAATCTTATTCATTCATGTAAATTAATTGTTAATGATTTTATTTTATTTTTTTTAAATCCTGGTCTTCGAAATATTGGGAGAGGGGGCGAAACGATATTCTCGTCCCCCCTCCCTATTTTTGGGGGGGAGGGGCGATCACCCTCCTCGCTCTCCAAAGTCTGTATTTATAGTTGATGATAACACGAAGAACTTACAAATCGTAGATAAAAAATGACACGCTTGGATAAATAAATTTGATTTTTTTTTAAGAGGTGTTTTAGAATTATGTTTTTAAAATTTTTGATTAACAAATAAAGTAAAATTTAAAAAACTAAATATGAATAGGAGATACACCATTAAATTTCAGATAAAGTATAAAGTCTTAAAATTGTTTCCTCTGGGAAAAATAGCCCCAGCTCGCTATTATTTAATGAGTAAAAGAGATGAATGGTTTTAATAATAAATAGAATAAACTATCTTCAACATCAATAGTCTATTCTTAGAGGGCTTGGTTGTGTTAGCTCAACAAAAATCTTTTAGTTTGATATTAATTGTAATTTTTCCAAATCGATCTCAAGATTAATATAAATATAATGCGTTTAATATATAATCATAATGTAATATATTCATCACAATAGCAGCCAACTATGTACCACGCGTATAGCATTTTTATGTTGTTTTTTTTTTGTTTTTTTTTGTGCCCATATTCTTTTCTCAGTCCATTTTTTAACTTCTTGCTTCGAATAAAAAAAATCCCTGAAGATTCCTGAAGAGGCGAAAATTTGGATAAATTTAAAATAAAATATTTCAATTATTGAGACTAAAGAGACCTTTTTTTCTACAGAATATAGAGGAAAAAAATTAGTGAGATTAACGATAAAAATTCTATTAAGTAAGGTCAGTACAGCTATTTATATTAGCTTCATTTTTCTGGGATGGACGCCCTTCTCTCATTCCTAGACAATGATCATTCTTGAATTTTAATTAATCTTGATCTTGTTGATATTGAAGTGAAATAAAACTATTGAAGTTATATAAACATTCGAAATCGATAAGTTAGTAAAGTTCTGACTTACTTCACTTTTTCTGTCATGAATGTAGCCTTACATTATATTTCTGAACTTTTTTCATTCCACTGAGCCTAATTACAAATTTTATCAATTTTCATTTTATTGGGCCAGATTATACCCATTTGACTTGGATATAATCATCCATATATTATATAAATAAGAAAAAACTCCAGTGTGTGCTTAAGACCACTCGAGAAAAGTGAAAACCTCAACAAAGCGGGATTAATAATATGAAATATAAATATTGTTTTTGTTTTATATTCACAAATTAATAACATTTACAATATATAAAATTATAATTGTGTATAAATTACTGTAGTAAACTTTGCTCCGACTGATAGTTATTTGTATAGTATTCTAAAAATGTAACAAATTGGTTTTTAATACAAATACTTTGGGGGTTACTAATTTGTTGAAACTTTATTGAGTGCAACACAAAATCGAACAGAAACAATTAATTTCCGGCTAATTAAGAAAATATCTATACTGACTTCTGCAAATAGATTTTTAAATTTTCCATACTATGTAAATTTTGAAATATTTTAGTCCAAATGTTTTTTTAGCA